ACCAAGAGTTGGATGCTCAACCGACTGAGCCATCAGGTGCCGCAAGGAACTAGAATTGAAATAAAAACGTATAACATAAATATGAATAAATAAAGCTCTGATTCTTTGAGGTTGTCCAAATTGTTGCTGTGTACTCTTCACAATAGTTCCTTTGAGCCTTTGTTTTGGTGTGTCCATTGTGATATGTTAGCCAACTAGAAATCGTGGTTTTGAATAGCCTTGGTGTGACTGTTCTCAGCGAGAGCGAGGTGAGTGGCTTGGGGAAGGGGAGCAGGAGGGCCGTGTGATTGCTGACCAAGGGGGACCCCAGGCTGTGCCCCACGGATGCCCCTGCTCTGCAATAGCCATCGTTCCCTCCCACTTCTCACTTGTGTTCGTGGCGCCTGTCACAGGGGACCCGTCAATGCCCCACATCGTGGCCCAGGTGGTGCCCGTCAAAAAAACACCAAATGGAACAAATGGCATGGCCTGAAACCTGTTACATTTGCAAAATTCTAGTGAGAATCCTGTGTTCAGGAACCTCTGGTAATTTCCTAAGTTGGTACTTACTCTTGGTGTTAAAAAATGAAGGGGTACGCAGGTCTCGGTGCTTCACATGGTGATTTTCTGGTTGGGATTTACTTTGTGCTAGGGGAGGTCATAGAACGAGACAGAACATCTCTCTTTGCACGGTAGCCCAGCCCCACCCATAGCATCTGGCTGTGAGCTGTGGGTAGATCGTGTGCCCTGGGGTGAAATTGTGAGACCTGGAACAAGATCATCTCACCAGCAGGGGCCTGAAGCCAGTGTAGGGATACACCCCTGCAAGCTGCTTTGCATTGCTGGGGGGATTACAGAATGATCATTTGATCCCTGTCCGTGTTCGAAAATGGCCAAGTCATTATTGTGAAATCTGAAAATCAGGCCCTCCTGAGAGAAGAGAATCCTTCACCAATGTTGGTGGGGCCCTGAAACCCTGCCACTCCATTCATGTCATCTTCCCTGAGTGCCTGCCCTGGGCAAGGCAAGGGCTTTGCGGGGAGGCCAAGATAGATGCAGTCCCGGCGTCCAGGGGCCCAGGTTCCCATCAAGGCGTGTGGCCTGTCAACAAGTATGTGGTGAGCAGAACAGAGAGGGGAAGGCACTCCGTGCCGTTTGAGGGGCTAGAGGAAGGTTTCCTGTGCCATTTGAGGGTGATGTCACTGACGCATGGCCCTCCTGTCCACCCCGCGGGGTACCAGATCGCGACCGCCTGGCCGGCAGTAGCCCCAGCACGTTCACCACTGTGGAGGTGGGTGCCATGGTGAGGCAGTTCATGGGCACCAAGCTGGCCCTGGAGTCGGCATACATCTTCAGGCTGCCGGCCAAGATGAGGCAGGGCTGGGCAAGCTGCTGTAGGCCCCCGTCGTCACCACTGAGAAGAGAGGTAAGACCCGAGGCCCAAGTCCACTGTCGTGGTGCTACAGGGAGGAGAGCTGGGCAGGAAACGGAGCCGGGAACTTGCATGGTCCACGACGTCCAGGTCAGGCCCTGTACCGTCGCGTGTCTACACAGCCTGACATTTATCAGCCAGGCAGGAATGTCCCCGGTTTAATGCTAGAGACTCGGCTCAGAAAGGTTGTGTAACTGGCCCAGGGTGGCTCTGAGTCACTGTGTTGGAGGGCAGCTCCCTGAAGCCAGGCACTTGGTCTCTGATGTTCAAAACCATGTGCCCAGCTGAGCAGGTGCTCATTAAAGTTTCCTGTGGAGCAGTCGTAGGGAGATCTGTCTTCATGGACGCCGCTTCTGTTGCAAACACTGGCGAGATGCTTATTGTACATTGTCTTGGTTTATCCTCACCAAAGCCTGGGGAACAAAGCTCTGTGAGCCCCAGTTCTACAGAAGAAGTGGGGGCCCAGACAGATTCAGTCATTTCCTGCTGTGGGGGCAGTGATGTGAACACCCTTCATAGACCCCCCCCCCGACCCCCTTTTCCCACACCAATCTTCTGTGAGTTCCCATCTCGGCAAGCCCCTGACATGCCCTTCAGCCTCGCTGTGGAATCTGCCTCAGCAGGCTCCCTAACCAAGGCCACCCCAATTCCAGGTGTGGAGGTCAGGGCCAGACCCAGAGGTCTGAGGGAAGAGGAGGACAGGAAGGCACTTGCACGCAGAGCCAACGGGTGCGCTCGGAGAGATGGCCTGTCCTACCTCCCATGTGGGAGTGCCTAGCGCCAGGCTCTGGAGCTGTGTGACCTTAGGCAAGGCCCTTCCCCTCTCTGTGCCCTGGCGCCCACCTGGTGGCCTCTTGGGAAGCACCCAAGGGCCAGCACCGTCCACGTGGTGCCATGGCCTTGCTCAGAGTGTGAGCCGGTGTCCCCGCGTGTGATCACTCTAGGACAAGATCTAGAGCAGATGGTTTAAGTGAGGCAGGGGTTGAACCCAGAGTGCTTGAAAAACAATCCAAAGGGCTGATCTGAAACCTACCAAAGATAGAAGGCAAAAGAGGCCGGCGTGCACTGAGCTCTTGCCACCTTCTGGCCACCTTCCAGGCATTGCAGCCCATTGCTCTCTCTACTTCCACACATCAGGCCGAACCTGTCCTCTGGGGTTTTTGTGGAGGCTTCATTCCATAGGCTAGACAGATGAAAGCATTGGTCATTGGCCATTGATTGAACCGCCAGCCCCTCTCCCGTCCTCAGAAGTCATGGGTGGGACCAAAAGTTCCAACCCTCTGATCACAACGTTGGTTGTCCTGGTGACCAGCCCACATCCTCATTAACATGACAAGAGACACCTTTGTCACTCTGGACAAAGACGTGTATATGAGAAACAAGTTTTCTCATCTGAATGGCTAAATAGATATTCTTCTTACAAGTCACAACATTGCAAACATGGCTCCAGTCTCTGCTTCTGTGCTCACAGGACGCCCTCCCAGTGGTGTGTCCAAATTTCTCTCCTCTTCTCAGGATGTTTGGATCGCCTTATTGCCTCACTATTTGTCAAAGGATTGCTGGATCCTAAATTGCTTCTCAAAATATGCCTTTCTTCATGTTCAGCAATGGATCATGTGGAACACTTGGGCTCCCCATGTGAATTAGCTATTATAATACCTTGCTCATGTTCATCTGTCCAGAGTTTGCAGTTACATTTATAAGCAGCTTTGCTGTTAGTGACCTCAAGGTTGAAGGTAGTCCTCTTGACTTAGGTGTCATTGAAAAGACCCCTCGATGCTTTGTTTTGGGGTTTTGGGGGCATTGGTAGGTTTAGCTTGTATTTGTAGGACCCAGGACTCTATACATGCATTTATGTCAGGTAGATTTCTAGAAGTGTAATTGTTGGGTTAAAAGGCAAGTGCATTGAAAACCTTGATAAATAAAACCAAATTGCCCTCCAAAAAAGAAACCAGTCCCTGGATTAGGGTGCTTCCTACTGCACTGTGACTTGCTCTTAACTGCAAGGTCTGCAAAACCCTGTGTCCATATAAGCTGGCATCCACAGGTACCAGGGGTTAGAACACCAACGTATCTTTTTGGAGGACACAGTTCAACCCACAACAGAGCAGTTTTCATACAACAAAGCTGTGGCCTCTACTCTGAGACCAGGACAGCATTTCCTAAGATGCTGGTGGCATCCTATAGACAGCGGCTGTGTAGGCATCACTGATAATTCAGCGTGCATCCATCTCTGAACAAGCATCACCGCCCTGTTGCAGCCAGGGGTCATGGGCGTGCCCTTTGTCCATCTGTCTGGTCACAGCTTGAGCGGTTCTTGTCCTTATTTGCTGAGTATTCCAGAGGAGACCCGGGACCCAGAGCCCCTGGCCCCCTGGCCTGCACTCTGGCTGCTGCAGCCCTCCCCAGACTAATTAACCAACAGAAATTGACGGGAGGGAGAATGTGAGCTGGGCATCTCTGTGTGCATCCTGGTGTGGGTTCAATTCTGAGATTCAGGGCCTGGCTACCACCATTCATGTTCCACAGTGTGTCAAAATGTCAAATGAGCACCTGCCCTACCCTAGGCCCGCCCTTCATTGCCACCTGACATTGGAGGGACCACGGGGCTTCCAGCTTAGGTCTGAGTCAGGGCAGAATAGGGGTGATCTGGCATGCAGAGCACTCACTGCACGCCCCGCCCCCAGTGAGGCTGCCACAAACCTGGGTGGGAGATGCCCTGGAGGGCCAGAGGAGATGGGGCTCACCTCCAGGGGGCACAGCCACTGGGGTGGACAGGTCTCTGTGGCAGCCCAGGTGTGCACGGAGAGGGGTGGCCCATGGAGAGCTCCTGGGCTTTGGGGACTTGCACCCACTGTGGCGATCAGGGGGGGCTTCACGGAGGAGGAGCCATTTGAGATAGGTTGTCAGGGAAAAGGGATTTCACCGAGGACACAAGGGAAGGTAAGATTTACAAGGGCCCAGCAAAGCTAAATGTTCCAGGAGTGGGAAGAGCGAGGTGTTCCCAGGCCAGCTGACCCCTGTCTCTTTCCACCTGTAGCTCCGAGAAACACCGGTGCTACGACGTCATCCTGACGGCCTACAACATCATCGGCGAGAGCCCAGTAGCGCGCCCGTGGAGGTGTTCGTCGGCGAGGCCGGTAAGCTCCGGGTGCCCCCGCCTTCTGGGAGGCCTGGCGTGGCGCTCTCAGGGGCTGAGCAGCGTGCCCATGTTGAGGAGCATGGTGCCTGTGCGAGGCTAGGAGGCTCCGGCGTGGGTCAGCGTGGGGAGGGGTGTCGGAAGCGCCGGCGGGCAACTGCGGGGAACACGGTGGCATCAGTGGTGTCAGCGGCGGCAGCAGTAGTGCTGGCCGTCAGTCGGAGTCAGCGTTCGGCAGCAGCGGAAGCTCCCGGCAGCAGAGGCAGCAGCCGTATGAGCAGCGGGTGGCGGCAGCGGTAGGTGCCGGGATAGTGGGCGTCGGTATGTGGCAGCGGGAGGCGGTGGAGGCAGGGGCGGCAGGAAGCGGTGAGGCACAGGCAGCTGGCGCCGCAGGCAGGCAAGAGCCGGCAAACGGCAGGCAGGCGGCAACAGGAAGCGGCCACAGCGGTTTCAGGTGGCGGTGGCAGGAAGCGGCGGAAGACAGCGGAGGCAGGCGGCGGGGGAAGGTGGCAGGAGGAGGGAGGCTGCAGTGGCGGCCGGCAGTGCGGGCAGCCGGTTCCAGGTGCCAGCGGTAGGCAGGCGGAGGCGGCAGGTAGGAGGTAGCAGGTGCAGGCTGCAGTAAGCAGCGGCTGGCAGGCAGGCCACGGCAGGCAAGGGCCGCGGGTGGTGCCAGGACATAGCAGGCGGCGGCAGCAGGCAGTCGGCGGGGGCAGGCAGGCGGCAGACAGCAGCATTAGGCAGACGGCAGCTGTGGCAATTGGCAGGTGGCAGCGGTAGGCAGACGGTGCCGGCAGTGGTGGGGTTAGGCAGGCAGCGTTGGCATGCATCCTCGGGGTTAGGTAGCTGGGCCCGGTGAGCCAGGCTGCGGCAGCAGACGGCGGTGGCAGGCGGCGGCAGGATGCGGAGGCAGTCAGGCGGCCACGGATGCCGGCGGGCAGCAGGCAGCGGGCGCACGCAAGAGCGGTGGTTGGCAGAAGGCAGGTGGCGGCGGCAGGCAGAGGTAAGCGGCAGCAGGGGGCGGCAGTGGCAGACGGCAGTGGTAGTACTGACTGGTGGCGGCAGCAGGCAGGCGGTGGCAGGCGGCGGTGGCAGCACTGGTGGGCAGTGGCGGCAGGCAGCGGCAGGCAGTCGGTGGCAGTCGGTGGCAGGCGGCAGCGGGTAGCAGCAGAGGTGGCAGCGGTGACAGCACCAGTGTGTGGCGTCTTCGGCTGCAGCCGCTGCAGGGGCGGCAAGGGCTGCAGGGGTGCCAGCTTTGGGCAGCCCCGGGTCATCGAGCGGCAGTGTGTGGCAGCCTCAGCAGCAGGTGCCATTGGCTTCAGCCGGAGTCACCGGCGGGGGAAGCAGGCGCCGCGATAGGGGCGGGGTCAGCAGCAGGCGGGTCAGCGGCGGCAGCGTGTGTCAGCGTGGGGAGGGGCGCCGGAGGTGCCGGCGGGCATAGTCGGGTTACGCGGCGGGGTCGGCAGCGTCGGCGGCGTCAGCAGTAGTGCTGGCGTCAGTTGCCTTCAGCATTGGGCAGCAGCGGAAGCTCCGGGCAGCAGAGGCAGCAGAAGGAGTATCAGCAGCGGGTGGCGGCAGCGGTAGGTGCCGGGTTAGTGGGGGTCAGTATGTGGCAGCTGGAGGCGGTGGAGGCAGTGGAGGCAGGGGGCGGCAGTAAGCGGTGGGGGCAGGGAGGCAGGTAGCGGCAGGCAAGTGTAGTGGGCGGCGGCGGTAGGCGATTGCAGGCGGCGGCAGGAAGCGTTGGCAGGCTGTGGTAAGCAACGGCACGCAGGCAGGCGGCCGCGGCAGGCAGGCAAGGGCGGCGGGCGGTGGAAGGAGGTAGCAGGCGGCGGCAGGGGGCGGGGGCAGGTGGCGGCGGCTTGCAGGCCACGGCCAGAGGCAGGCAGGGGTCCGCGGGGACAAGAGGTAGCAGGCGGCGGCGTCGGCAGGGGGCGGGGGCAGGCAGGCTGCGGCAGGCAGGTGGCAGGCAGTTGCAGGCAGGCTGCAGCACTGGGGGTACGCAGTAGCTGCAGGTGGCAACAGGTGGTGGCGGCAGGAAGCGGCGGCGGGCAGGTGGTGGGGGCAGGTGGCGGCGGCTTGCAGGCCACGGCCAGAGGCAGGCAGGGGTCCGCGGGGACAAGAGGTAGCAGGCGGCGGTGGCGGCAGGGGGCGGGGGCAGGCAGGCTGCAGCAGGCAGGTGGCAGACAGTTGCAGGCAGGCTGCAGCACTGGGGGTACGCAGTAGCCGCAGGTGGCAACAGGCAGTGGCCACAGGAAGCGGCGGCGGGCAGGTGGTGGGGGCAGGTAGTGGCGGCCGGCAGACCCCGGCTAGGGGCAGGCAGGGGGCGGCGGCGGCAAGAGGTTGCAGACGGGGGCAGGCAGTGGTAAGCGGCGGGAGGAAACGGCGGCAGGCAGCAGGGCCAGGCAGCAGCGTTAGGTAGGCGGCAGCAATAGGCGTGTGGTGGCCTTGGGCTGGCGTGGCGGGTAATGGTAAGTGGCAGCAGGCGGCGGTGGTAGGTAAGCAGCAGCAGGCCGTGGCGGGCTGCAGGCCCCAGGGCCCAGGCAGGAAGCGGCGGCTGATAATCGCAACCAGCCATAAGCGGTGGCAGAAAGCGGCGGCAGGTGGGGGCAGGTGGCAGGGGGAGGCGGGCCACAGTGGAGGCAGGCAGTGTGGGAAGCAGGCGGTAGTGGCCGCAGGCAGCGGAGGCAAGCGGGCTGCAGGGAGCAGCGGCAGCAGTTGGCGGTGGTAGGTTGGCAGCGTTGGCAGGCACCGTCGAGTTTAGGCAGCGGAGGCTGGTGGCAGCAGAGGAGGTGGCAGGTGGCGGGCTGCAGGTGGCGGCGGTAGACAGCGGTAAATGGCAGCAGGGGGTGCGGGCAGGCAGGCGGAGGCAAGGGGATACAGGCAAGGGTGGCAGGCGGCAGCGGAAGGAAGCGGTGGCGGGCAGGTGGCTGGGGCGGTAGGCAGCGGTAACTGGCAGCAGCTGGCGGGGGCAGCGGCCCGGTGGTGGTATGGGCAGGGTCAGCGCTGGGCAGCCAGCGCCAGCAAGCAGCAGGCGGCAGAGGGCGGCAGCGTGGGCCAGCCATGTCGGCGGTCAGCAGCAGCGTCTGCGATGGGCAGCGGGTGTCAGTGGCGGAAGCTGGGGGCAGTGGCGGTAGCTGGGGGCTGTGGCGGTATGGCTGGGAGCAGAGAGAGCCGGGGGCAGCGGCGTCCTTGGAACCCTAGCATGCTGCGGTTCCGAGGAAGAGGTGCCCCTCAGCCTGGTATCTGCAGGGCACACAGGGGGCCACCCAGGACCCAGAGGCTGAGCCTGAGGCGGCGTGCCAAGTCCTGCTTCCTCCCATTGGGGAGGCCAGTTGAGTTCGGCCTCTGCCCTGGGCCTGAGCTTCAGTCTCTCCATCTGTAAAGTGGGCAGAACAGCAAAACCTTAGGGTTATGGTGCAGATTTAATGTAGGTAATGGGTTTCCTCTAGACTGGTTCAGAGTACAGGTTGTCATTCCTCTTATTCCACTTCCAGCTGTGTGACCTTGAGCAAGATAGGTAATCGCCAGGCCTCAGAATTCTCATCTGAGAGATGGGCCTGCAAAGAGACCTATATAGGCTTGTTTTGGGGATTTAGTGAAGTAGTACACAGAACCCATTTCCAAAATCAATGTAAATCATGGTTCCTGGCTCGAGATAAGTGCAGTACGAGTCTTTGGGATTAATATCACAGAAGTATTAGTTATTGTTATTGCTAGCACCGGGGAAGGAACACCGTGATTGCCATCCTCATGATTATCATCGTGAGTTAATTGAGGAGCTGCTCTGTGCCTGGCGCTGGCTAAGCATTCTACACCCTTTATCAGTTTGCACATCTCCATGGGCTAGGATCCTGATAGGCCTCTGAGTCTTAGAGACGCAGATAATGCTTGGAACCAGATTTCAATCCCTTGTCTTTGCAGCTCCAAAACCTGTGCTTCCAACCTCTCCATGATTGGGGCGTATCCGAAACCCTCATGCCTCTCTGCTTGACTCTGCACCTTACAGCTTAGAATAGGGCCTAACACAGGGGAATACAGAGGGATAAGTATTCTCTATTTCTGTTACCGTCGTAGTCTTTATTCCCTCGCAGTGCTTTATGGGCACAGATGTAACGGTGTTGGTTAGTGATTCAGATCAAGAGCTGACAGACCATCCCAACTGAGAGAAATGAGACCCATTTTATGTGCTCCTCTCCCCCTAGAATGACGGTCAAGAGACAGTGATGACTCAGAGGTTGCCAGTGAGTTAAAGAAGTTGGCTGCCCAGCCGCAAGAGCCTGAGTAGACAGCAGCGGCGACCTTTGGTAGCATCTCAAAAGACACCTACACGATGGAACATGCCCAGGGATTTGGAAAACCGGTAAGGCACTTTCCATACACCCTGCCTTGTTCTTCCTCAACTTCTTCAGTATCTCCCAGGAACTCCCTGCTTCTTCCTGTACCCATAAACGGGATGCAGTGCCCACTGCTCTGGGTAGAGAGGAGCCCGGCACTTTACATGCTGTTCTGTGCACGCACTCACCAGTGTACAAAGCTCTCCTTTAGCCTCTGTTAGGAACAGGAGGGCAGTTTCCCGCACAGATTTGGGCAGGTCCCTGCACTTTCTGAGTCCCCTGAACAATGGTGTACGGCTTACCTGTTTAAATCCAGTTTTGTCTTGGAGTGTTTTACAAGACCTTTTCCTTAGGATAACTTGTAAGATCACTCTCTTTACAAATTCGAAGCTTGTAATACAGTGTTATTAAATATAGCCGCCATGTTGTACGTTACATCCTGTGACTGACTGACTTTATACCTGTAAGTTTGAACCTTTGACCCCTGTCACCCATTTCACACCCATCCCCCTGCCTGTCAACCACCAATCTGACTGCTGTATCTTTAAGCTCAGTTTTTTGGTGTTTTTAGATTCCATATAAATGTGTTGTCATAGAGTATTTGTCTCTGACTTCTTTCAGTTAGCATCGTGCCCTCAGGGTCCATCCATGTTGCTGTAAAAAGAACGATTTCGTTTTTTGTTATGGCTAAAGAGTATTGCAGCGTCTACATACACCACATCTTCCTTATCGATTCATCCCTCCGTGGACATGTAGGTTGTCCTCCTATCTTAGCTGTTATGAATAATGCTGCAGTGAACATGGGGGTTCAGATATCTTTTCAAATGGGTGTTTTTGTTTTCTTTGGCTAAATGGCCAGGAGAAAAATTGCTGGATTGTAGGCTCGTTCTAGTTTTAATGTTTTGAGGAGCCTGCATACTCTTTTCCACAGTGGATGCACCTACCTACGTTCCCACCAACAGCTCACTGGGGTTCCCTTTCGGCCACATCCTTGCTAACATGTGTTATTTCTCATCTTTTTGATACTAAGTTTTCTAACCAGTGTGAGGTGCTATCCCATTGTTGTTTTGATTTGCATTTCCCTGATGATTCATGATGTTGAGCATCTTTTCACGTCCCTGTTGGCTCTCTGGATGTCTTCTCTGGATAATGTCCATTTGGATAATCCTCCCACTTTTTAACCACTTTGTTTTTTTGCTGTAGTTATTGAGTCTAAGAGTGCTTTATATGTACTGGATACTTATCTTTTTTTTTTTTTTTAAAGGATTTATTTATTTATTTATTTGAGAGAGAGAATGAGATAGAGAGCATGAGAGGGGGGAGGGTCAGAGGGAGAAGCAGACTCCCTGCTGAGCAGGGAGCCTGACGTGGGACTCGATCCCGGAACTCTGGGATCATGACCTAAGCCGAAGGCAGTCGCTTAACCAACTGAGCCACCCAGGCGCCCCTCCATACAAATTTTAAAGATTCTTTGCCTTATGTCTGTAAAACGTGTTTCGAATTTTGGTAAGAATTGCATTCAATCTCTAGACGGTTTTGGGTAGTATAGACATTTTAACACTTAATTCTTCTAATCCATGAGCATGGAATGTCGATTTACTTGTGTTGTCTTCCGTTTCTTTCCTTAGTGTCTTACAGTTTTCAGTATATAGGCTTTCACCTCCTTGGTTAAATTTATCTTTAAGTGTTTTTTGTGTTTTTTTTTTTTGATGCAGTTTTAAATATTATTTTTTAAATTTATTTTCCTGTTCATTATTAGTATATAAAAATGGAACATATTTTTATGTACTTTTTATCCTGCAACTTTATTGAATCTGTTTAATAGTTTTTTTCATGTTGTTTTTAGGGTTTTTTTACATATAAAATGTCATTTGAATATAGTGACCTTTTTTTTTTTTTCTTTAAAGATTTTATTTATTTATTTGAGACAGAGAGAATGAGAGACAGAGAGCATGAGAGGGAGGAGGGTCAGAGGGAGAAGCAGACTCCCTGCCCAGCAGGGAGCCCGATGCGGGACTCGATCCCGGGACTCCAGGATCATGACCTGAGCCGAAGGCAGTCCCTTAACCAACTGAGCCACCAAGGTGCCCCTGAATATAATGACCTTTACTTCTTCCTTTCCAATTTGGATGTATTTTATTTCTTTATTTTTCTTGTGTAATTGCTCTGGCTGGGATTTCCAGTAGTATAATTGACCGTTGTCCATCGTCGGTTTGAATTGTGTGGTCCACTTAATACATTTTTTATTCAGTAAATACAGGCATTGCTTGTAAAGGTATTGTCCTTTTGAATTTTTTTTTCTTTTAAAATGATTATTTATATTCTACTTACTTAACATACAGTGCAATATTGGTTTCAGGAGAATTCCGTGATTCATGACTTGCTTACAACCCCTACTACTCATCATAACAGTGCCCTCCTTAATCCCATCACCCAGCTAGACCATCCCCCAAACACCTCCCCTCTGTCAAATCTCTGTTTTCCAGCATCAAGAGTTTCTTACAGTTTGTTTCCCTCTCTGTTCTTTGTATTCCCCCTCCCATTTGTTGATCTGTTTTGTTTCTTAAATCCTTAGGAGTGAAATCACATGGTATTCGTCTTTCTCTGACTCACTTATTTTGCTTAGCATAATACACTCTAGCTTCATCAGGATTTTTTTTTTTAAAGAATTTATTTATTTGTTTTTCTTTTTTTTTTTTTAATTTTATTATGTTATGTTAGTCACCATACAATACATCATTACTTTTTGATGTAGTGATCCACGGTCCATTGTTTTCGTATAACACCCAGTGCTTCATGCAGTACGTGCCCTCCTTAATACCCATCACTGGGCTAACCAATCCCCCCCACCCCCCTCTAAAACCCTGTGTGTTTCTCAGGTCCATAGTCTTACATGGTTCATCTCTCCCTCCAATCCCCCCCCCCATTTTTCCCTTCCTTCTCCTAATGTCCTCCATGTTTTTCCTTATGTTCCACAAATTAGTGAAACCATGTGATGATTGACTTTCTCTGCTTGACTTACTTCACTTAGCATAATCTTCTCCAGTCCCATCCATGTTGATGTAAAAGGTGGGTATTCATCCTTTCTGATGGCTGAGTAATATTCCATTGTATATATGGACCCCATCTTCTTTATCCATTCATCTGTGGAAGGGCATCTCGGCCCTTTCCACAGTTTGGCTATTGTGGACATTGCTGCTATGAACATTGGGGTGCATATGGCCCTTCTTTTCACTACATCTGTGTCTTTGGGGCAAATACCCAGTAGTGCAATTGCTGGGTCATAGGGTACCTCTATTTTTAAATTTTTGAGGAACCTCCACACTATTATTTTTTGACAGAGAGAGACACAGCAAGGGAGGGAACACAAGCAGGGGGAGTTGGAAAGGAAGAAGGAGGCTCCCCACAGTCTTTGGATCAAATGCGGGGCTCGATCCCAGGATCCTGGGATCATGACCTGAGCCAAAGGCAGACGCTTAATAACTGAGCCCCAAGCTCCATCAGGATATTCTTAATCACACTCTTTTTCTCTAGCTTACTTTGTTGTAAGAATACAGTCTATAATACATATAACATTCAAAATATCTCTGAATCAAATCTTTGTGTTCCTGATAACTTTTGTGGTCAACAGTAGGATATTAGTAGTTCAGTTTTGGGTGACTCAAAAGTATTCTCAGATTTTCAACTGCACAGGGGTTGGCAACCCTAATCCCTGCATTGTTCAAGGG